TATATTCAAATATTCAAAAATAACATTTTTTTTTCAATCATATTTTTTACTATTTCTAACGATTATAACTTTTAAATTTTTTTTGAATGATGACACGTCCATTTTTAATTTAATATTTTCTAGCAGAATTTTTTCTACCGAATAATTAATTTTTGTAATAGTTGCAGACGAATAGTAAACTTTTGCTGAACCTACCCCTGTGTCACACTAAATTTGTAGACAAATTTATAACTCGTTCGAAAAACGATTTTTATTTACAGAAATGTTTTGTTTCGTTTATTTACTTTTTATTTTATAAAATATAATTGTACACATTTTAAAGACGTAATATTATGTACTGCTACGGTAGAATAACGCAGTTTCCTCGCTCTGTAGGTGACTGCTGCAACGCACTATACGATAATATATTATATTGTATTTTCTCTGTGACTAAAGTAAAGCCATAATTCTCAATAGTATGTCAAGCCATAAAATGAAAATAATATAATACTTATATGTAAACCGATTACAATATTCTTATAGTCAACTGTTTACCGTGCGTATTAAGTCATGTCCTACGAAATCGGTTTTTTCCTATTTCACTATAAAATTGTACCTTTACTGTAATACACGTATTGCAAATCGGAGGGTACCTGATTTTAAATGCTTGAAACAAATATAATATGTCCATAGACAAATATATCATATTTAAATTTGATTATTTTTATACGTTTAATATTGTATTAGGTACGCATTTAAAAACTTAGAAAACTGACATTTTATGGAAAAAAATGTAAGTTTTATTAAACATTAGGACGAAAGTGAGACACGCATTGTTAAAATCAATACAATTTTAACAGTCCCGGATTGGCAATTTGTTCACAAGCTTGAGCGTGGCGCACAAACTATATAGATACGTAAAATATTGAAGTACCTATTTAAATTAAAATTCAAACGAGTAGTTTTTGAGTCATTAAACTTGTTTTATTTAGGATAATAGGTCCCATGATACTGAATTTGGAAGAGATGGGGCTATGAAGATTTCAAAATTTTACTGATTAATATTAATCTATTAACTTTTATAATTAATGTTTATGGTCCCAGTATAATACTTGATGATAATTGAACTATTATAATATCTATTTTATATTTTTGTACAATATTTTTTAAGGACTATTATCCTTAGTATAAACATTGTAAAAACTGAGATACAATACTTGTTTTAATTTTAAATAATGTAAAAAATTATCTGCTAAATAATTTACAGTAAAAATGAGGAGTTCCCATTAAGAAAAAATAAAATAAAAAAACAAAAGTGTGTATTACCACAAGACATAAGTAATATAAAAAGTCTCAATATTTTTAAAATATGATATTAAAATATATTTGAAAATTCTAAAACTTAAAAACTTAATTAATTTATTGGTAAAATAAAAAAAAAACAGGGGTGAGTATGCTTGGCACTCTGTATATTTCTGTAGTCCGCACATTATAATGTGATATGACACACATGTATAATATTTTGTTGCGCATGTGTGATCACGGAGTGGAAAATTAAAAATTTTTTTTTCTGGATCTTTGCCCGCTACGAAACCGTATCGTGATAATATATCAAATCGTGATGCGGAAAAGTCTATCGCATACGCTGGCCTCGTCATATGTTTCAGTTAGGTTCGGCAGTGGCGTTTAAATAATTATAAAAACGCGTATGCGCCCGTTTAATGATGAATTACTGTACGTTATTTTATAATGTCGTGTAGTAATGTGAATCATTTACGCGCATGCCGTCATGAATAATGCAATGCATTGCTATTAAACTACATACATTATAGTTTATACTATATATAATATTATGTGATATGTACAAACTACGCGACACGCTTGTCACCACTGTTGTTATTACGTAATTAACACGATATAATGTGGCGCCCCAACCGTCGGTCGTCATTATATTATAATTTATTAAAATACTGTTTTGATATCGAACCGCGGACGTTTGATAGCAGATTCGAAGTTAACATTTATATAATACAAATAAGAATAAAATAATATACTTCGGTAATCTGTCCACACACTATACTGTTATTACAAAGATTAAATTATAAATAACTTATTGAAGTCAAATATTATTTAAGTGTGGACATGAAGGTCATATCCTCTCCCACTATCTCACTAGAAACGTCTAATCGCAGATTAAAAATTTTACTCATCAGACTTTAAAAATCATAAAAACTTGATTATCAAGAATTATTATTGCTTTAACTAGAGTTTTTATTGGAAATTTATAACTCAAAAAATCTATTTAGGTTATTCATATATGACTATATGTTTTATCTGCCGTTAATCCCTTCTCCACCAAAATCTACAAAACCAGTTGTGAAGTTTTAAAATCATATATATACTTATGCGTATGTATCTAAAGATTATTTCAGATAAACTTTCAACTAAAACAAATCTAATTACATGATTATATTAATTTTTACTACAAGTGAATGATTGTAAGCATTATTATTGAACTTAAGTGTAGAACACGATGTCGAGAATAAAAAATGTACGTGAGCGAATAGAGAATCATAATATTTTAACGTTATACAATATACATATTAAATATATTATGCAAAATTATAAAAAAACGTATAGACATTAGAAGGTCATAATGTAGGCTGGAGAAAATTGGATTACGGCTGCAAAAAAACAATGATTACTTCAAGAATAAACAACGCAATAAAGCTAAAATGAAACGTACTTGACAAAAAAAAAAAAAAAAAAATGTTGATTAAAAAAAAATGTAATTATACAGCAATGTAAATATATTTTAATTATTAGTGTTTCAGATATGAAATATATCAGAAATTCATGAAATATTGATTTTTTTAAATTTATCGGTTTTTTTTTTTAAATTTATTATAAGATAGTTTAAGAATAAACATAATATAGTATAATTATTAAATGCTGATAAAAATATAGATTAAGATTACTATAGGAGACAATTTTTGGTCTACTAATACGATTTCGAGTTTCATGGTAAATAGACAAGTCGGAATCGTAAAAATGAATGAGAACAGAATTAATTGAATCAAAAAGAAAATAACGTCATGTATCTAAAAAACCCGTGACAAACAAGATGTGCTTTTTTAAAAATACGAGCAGTATGTTTTTAAAGGTTTTATTAGTAAATTAAATGTTTGAAAATATTATAAACGCATTTTGTGAAAACGTTCGTCTGATGAAATTTTTAAACGCATTATTATTATTATACGATTATAATAACGAGCGTTTCATAACGAAATGAAAACTTGAAAACGATATGCCAGTAATCCGGAGCTTTTCTGACAGTCCGACATTGCAGCAACTGCACCTGAACTCGTCTCGCCAACAATCGGATCACCGAGGTAGGAGTGCAACAGCTTCAGTGATGTTATTCGTATAATAAGATAGCGTTTCCGGAAACCGTCCCGCGGCGGTGGCGGCGGCGGCGCGCATCGTCACCGCCCTCGCGCAATATCTACTACGCTATATAAATTACATTAATATCTGCAGCACTCCGTAACGCATAATATATATATATATATATATATATATACATGCACGACTCACTTACGACGGCCACCGGCGGCGGCTACGATAATTTAATATAATGTGTGTGCGTGAGTACCTACATATAATTTTCATTATCATTATACTCGCATAGGCTGTATAGCTGACCGGATGTGCGAGGCGAGAGAATATAATGTATATTACAATATTAAAACGCATACACACATATATATATATATATTTATATTGTATATAGGTACCAATACATTTTGTACGACCACCGCGACGACTATAACACGGTGTGTAAACGCCTACCGACGCCGCCGCGCATCTCGCGTGTATACGTATATAATATACATAATAATAATATGATATATACATATATGACATATTGTACCTGCGGCGATCGCGGTCTACAGCTGCTGCGCCCGTATTGTATACCTAAATATATATAATTATATACCTGTCCGCGGATCGAGCCGAATCGTCGTTGTCGTCGTCGTCGTCGTTCCGATTAAACCGCCACCGTTCACGGCGATTACGCTGCAGTGCTCCGCGCGCACACGTCTTATGCGTACGTTTCATACCCGGGTATTGGTATGCAGGTACCCACTATACGGTTTAATGTAATACACTGTATAGGTGCAATACACCGGAGTCGGCCGTGAAATCGTTTGTCACGCGCCGCCGCCCGCTCGTCCGCGCGCACAATGCCCGGTTCGTCTTCGTGCAGGTCTTCGCGGGCAACCAAACCGCAGCGGACAACCTCGGGTAGGGTCCGCGGTGTGGCGGTGGTGGCCGACGACTATAGCATTATAATAATAATAATAATAATATTAATATAAAATGTGATTCTGTATGATATGATTTTTTATTATTATTATTATTATTATTATTGTATATATTATTATCAGCGAGTCGACCGGAACGGAACTGGAGCGCTCGCATCGCGGTATACAAACCGCATTTTGAAACGCCGACCGGAAAATCTTTTCCAGCGACAATAACGCCTCGCGCGGGGGCTGTGGTACACGAAAATGACTATTTCTGTGTCATCATATTTTGTGATCGGTCCAAATATAATATTATTGATTAACGTATTGTTAAAGTATTATCACTGATGATAATATAGTTACAATCTTAATTAAAATTTAAATTATAACAAAGTCGTTGTTCTAGCGGAGCGTTTACACATTTTAGAACTGCTAGAATAATGGAACTTAAATGATCGTAAAATATATGTAGGTACCTATTGTATTATATACCGTGTAGAAAAGAAAATTATATAAATTCGAAATTTTAATAGTTGATTCATACGCTGGTTACGATTCATGAAGATATCTTTTGATCATTTTACGAGTAGTTGTGTTAGATATTACACTTTGAAAATGCTTAGACGTACATCATAGAAAAATTTAAATATCTTTAAAAAGAAGCTAGTATGCCAACACAGACAATTCTGTTAACTTTAAATTTGTTTTTAGGTTATTGCGCTTTTGATTCTAACATTAAAGCTAGCAACACAAGCAATATTGGATGACGAGAATTCGCCATATGGCGCGCGGGTCATAGTAAGAAAATAAGAACGATGCGCCGGGCGTTGACATCCTCCATTAAACCAACGGTAAAAAAAATTAAAATTAACTTTGCGATGATTGATCAATAAAATTTTTTAAAAAAATATTCAAGGTTATTATTAATAACGATATATAATTTGTATTGGAGCACGACATCTTTTCATAAACACGCCGAAATGCCTATAACATATTTATCGATATTCGAACCGACCGCGGCACAATGTAGTGAAGAAATAGCGACTTACATATCGTGCACGGCCGATCGTAACAACAAAATAATAACAACATCGATAATAATAACTACACGATGGCGGCCAGCGCAGCACAGTCAGTACTGCAGGATACAGAGGAGTTGTACCTAAACTCGCATTATACACACGTAATGTACGAGTCCGACGGGCGTGTGATATTATTGTATATTATTATAATGTATGCGCTCGCCGCTGCAGCTCTCGCGCAGTGGAATGTGTTAATCTCGGCGATATTATATTATTTAGGTGTCGGAGACGGCCGAAGAGGTCGGGTACTCGGGGTCGTAGCGGGCCGCCGCGGGTATATACCGCGGCATATGATATTATTATTATTACTGTTACTATAATATGTATAAACGCGTTTGGACCGAGCGCATTCTTTTTCATTGTCGTTAAGTACAATATGTATATACGCCATTGGTACATCGTCGTCTTTTTATAAATTTATTATTCAGAGGTATAAGCACAGTGCAGTGCGGCTTGTGTGTCGGGGGTGGTACGACCCCACCGCCGCAATAAACCTAAAGCGGAATATCATATTATTACAATATTATTGTTATTATTATTATTATTTTTGTTCGGCATTCCGATCGTCCAAAATCGTATATCATGTGTATAGAGGTAGATACGCGTATTATTATATTATGTTCACACGCACGCCGCGGACCTTTGTGCGACGAACCTGTGGAATTTGTCAACAGGCGGACCAGGCGGCCACTCGTTTCGCCGCCTCTTCCTCGTCTTAATTCTCTGATCAATTTGTTGAAAACACGCTCGTTTTGTCCGAAACCACGTTATGTAACGCATTCGATATACACGCCTATATAATTGGGCTGGATAATAATTTAAGTACACACAATAATATAAACTCATTCGTCTATACCGCGACCGCGGTGGTCGCGGTGGTCGTGGTTGGTAATAAATTTGATCTCTTCGAATCGTCCACTGACTGTTGTATTCCTTATTATATTATAAAATATAAAGTGACGAAGTTCAATATAATTTTCAAACAATTTTAAATTAAACGAAATTTCAAATTTAACCTAATAACATTTTGTGTATTGTAGGTATCTACAAAGCACTTAACAAATTAACTTTTAAATATGGTTGAATAGTTTGGAAGTGGCTGTACAGATAATGCAATAAGGTTAATTGAGAGTTCAAAATATCTTGCAATAAGAATATAATTATATAAAAGGGAATAAAGTTGCTCTACTTTACTAAATTACAAAGAACTCAAAATTCTTCCAATTAGATATCTATACAGGTAGTTCTCCATACTCACTAAAACGGATAAATAAGTCGTAAGCAAAATATAAAGCATGAATTTAGGGTTTTTGACATATTTGTAAAATATATGAAAAATAGTTTAGAATAGTTTAAAATACAAAGAAAAAATTGTTAGTCATTTGTTTCTTGAACTGTAATTAAATTAATAGAAAATTAAGTTTGAATATTAGAGCAGTTAAAAATTAAGGTTCAATATTATAAACATAAATGTAAATATACTGTTTATTATAAACAGTTTATAAATAGCTTATTTACTACGCTAAAAGCATAGCTTAGTTAAGTAAATTAACTTTAATACTGTAAATTTAAAATTATTTTTAAATGTATTACAATGTACCTATTACATATTAAATGCATGCAATATAACAGTAATTTGTTGAAGATTTTAGCCATGATTAACAAATGTGATATAAATTATAAAACTTGGACATTGATTTGAGATGTTAATCTTGAGATGGTATCATGCAAGACTACAAATAACAATATTATCCAGAAATATTGAATTGGTTTCAAACTATTAATTTTACGACCGGATAGAAAATTGAAAAAACGTTCGTTTTGCGCTGATGATTTACTGCTGGGATGACGAAAATGGTATCCGTCACACGCGCGTGTAGTGCACGGTGTACCTATACTTCTTATATTTTAATGTAGACGTTTTGATTTGCCGTTCCATTATTATAATAATATATTATAATATGTCATTGTGTACGCGTAAAGAAGGCAAAAAAAAAAAAAATATGTATATTTGACACATGAAAACTGGTTCATTCTTATTATAATCTCATCTCACGTTAATGCGTACAGCGAAGAACAAATTAACGAGCGCCAGTTTTTTTTTCTATTTAAATATAATATAAATGTAGACACGCGTATATATTCGATGCACGATAATAACAATATTAATAATTTATTTTTATATTTACAGCTGTGCGAGTACTTATGTGATCCCAAAAAGTGACATTTTTGTCCCCACGCATTTGTAAAAAAATATATTCTCTTTTAACATATTATTTTATATATTATACATTATTCGTTGTACATAATATCTAGACAACATCGGATTGTTAAACACGCTACGATATAACAACGCGTTTACGAAGTTTGGTCAATAACTTTATGCAATAATATTATTGTAATAAATAATATTATCAATTTTTAGAAAAGTTTTTTTTTTTCGATTTCGTCCCACAGATATGTGAAGATACGAAAAGAGCGTAATGCACTGGTGTTACGGTTAAGTTTCGCAAATTCACCACGCATATTAAATAAGTATTATATAAATTATATAAACGAAATAATAAAGGTTTATATTTTGTGAATTAGTTATAAATTGCAGGAAACAGAAAAAAGATGAATTTTATGCATATTAAAATAGGCTGGTTTTTTTTTGTTTTATTTAATTATCTGAAAAAAACGGTAACACACCGATATACTTTCGTGAAATCCAAAACAATTCATATTTGTTATAGAAACATAATATTATTATTAATTATTATACATAGATATGATGATTACTGATTACAATGTTAATAATTTTAGAGACTAAAACAACAGGTGATCAATACATTTTACATAATAATGCTTTTCCAAAGATTACAAAAATACATATATTATAATGTAAACAAAAACTAAACATAATCGAAAAGTATAATTACTGAATATTAACATAAATAATAATTAATATTCTGTTGAATAGATGTTATAACCGATTAAACGCATTAAAAAAAAAAATCAAGTTAAAAGTTTTGCCATTATATAAAAATGTATATATTATACAGTTTATAGTTATTGACTAAATTAATTTTAAATCTTTAAATTAGTGTACAATATTCAACGAGATATTTAAATATCACTTCAATATGTTAGTAGAAAAAATTGTTTTGGCCACCAATCAAATATAAAAGGTTCATTTACAATAATCGACAAACTTCTAAACACTTATTTATACTTTGCTACAAAATGTTTCATATTACTACAAAGAACTTAGTTGATTTATTGAATTGTTTAAAACGTATCTTATAAATTATTACTATAATTCTTGCGTAATAATAACAAATGTTGCATAATATTAAAAAGTTTTATTTGTGTCTTAAGATTCACAGAAACAAAATAATATACATATCACATATAAACCGACATTGACATTCGCATAACCTTCAAATAGTAAAATATACTTTGAACCGACATAATATATTAATACAATGTGAAAATACGTCGTACGCCTTAACCCTTTTGTATAACACGGTTTTAAAATAATTAAAAGTATTATTTAAAGATGTCTAATAATATATAATTTAATATTAAGTCTGATTACACATATTTTAAATATTTATGTATTCATTTTTTGATTAAATTTACAGTTTCAGCTACGTATAGCTAGGCAATTAATGTCTTTAAAATGTATATATACTATTACAAATTTATCACACTTATTATAAACTAGGTGTTAAATCTATTTTTGTTTTTACATTATACAGTTTATATTATATTGTAAGATTCAGTTTTTTTAATACATTAAAATATTCTGGTGTTTTTTTGAATCTGGTCTCAGGCCTGATCCTACAAGGTGATCTTAGGAATTTTACAGATGTCTAATTTCTCAGGAATACTTGTAATATTATGCCAGTTTATGCTGTAGTTGATAGTAATAGGGTTACTCCCCAGGTTTCACACGCTGATGGTTGCCATTAGAAAACAATGTACATTATTCCGATGTATCCAATTCTATAGTTAATTTGGTGTTATCATTTATTTTTATTTTTATTCGGGATTTTGTCATTTGAGTATTGTTTTTTTTTGATTTTTCTTAGCTTAAATTTATTTCTTATGCCTATAGTATGTTTGCCATTTAGCTTCTTAAACATTGTTTTCCATTTCTTTACACGTTTTTATTTGTAGAAGTAGTGATTCATTTCTTAGTATTTTTACAGGTCTACTTTTCTATTTTCTTTTATGTTACTGAGCGTCTGAACTCTGGTATTCAAATAAATGTTATGTTTATTCCCATATTTCGAGTTTGTATAACTTTTTTTTTGTATGAGTTTCACGATGTCCGTATAAAGAATTTGTCGTAATAAACTTACGACTGATTCTGTGAGGATATTGGTCGGTATATATTTGTACTCATTTTATTGGTAATTTATGTGTTCTACAGCTTTAAAAACTATTATGGCTTTTACGTTTATGCAAATGTAACTGTTTTCAAGTAGTATTTATTTCTGGTATTAAGGTGTACATGGATAATTGAAATAACTACATTTTTTTTCTGACTTTGAAGCGTCTATGTAAAATATATTGTTTTTTCTGTGTTTTATGTATTTTTTGTAAGTGATTTTAATTATGAAGATTTAGATTTATATTTTATTTTTTTAATATTGTTGATATCAGAATTAAAAAACTTCTATATTGTTACATAATATTAAAAACAGTTATTAAAATTACAATAAATTATATATTATTTGAATTTGGATACATAATATAGTAAAATAGATATATATTAAAGT